AAAACCTCGTGGCCACTTGCGTAACAATGCCACTCACAGCTGCACCCTGCACAAAGATTTTCCAGCTCTGGGACTACAATCTATGTGCCAGCAGCCTGAGAGCGATTGTTACTGGGTCAGGTTAATTACGCAATTAACCCTTCACACTGCCAACGCCACCTTTTTACAGAGAAGGAGGAAACTCACAAATCTTAGCAGTAACACTATTATGTTTGAATAAGCGTCTGTATACACACTGCCACCGCAGACAGATGTATGCAGAGGGTTAAAACACACAGTAGCACTCTTCAGAGACAGGGATTCTTAGTTTGCAGTAAAAAGCTTTAGAAACCGTTCAACACTTTTCAGAAAATAGGATTTATTACTAAAAAGGTCAAAATGGTGCAATAAAAATATTTACAGAAAAGATGTAACAAATATACATAGAGAGAGAGAGAGAGAGAGAGAGAGAGAGAGAGAGAGAGAGAGAGAGAGAGAGAGAGAGAGAGAGAGAGAGAGAGAGAGAGAGAGAAAGTGCGCGCTGAAGCCAAGGGAGAGAGAGAGAGCGATGAAGCCAAGGGTCAATCGCCTCATTTGGGGAGGGGTGTTAGGCGGAGACCCAGGCTGTGACCCAAATCCCTCCCAAGTTTTTACCATGGTCAATAACTTTTCATAGGTGCATGTAGCAGCCTAGCCGCTGGTAGATTAATATTTAGAATCATATTCTGAATGTCCAGACACCAAATATGACATATCTGGCTGTGACGGATAAAAAGATATTGCTTTCTACTCTCTGGTAGACATTACCTAGGGGTGTAAGGTATCAGGTGACTTGTATTAAAATTACATATCTGAATATATGCTTTGTTTTAATGCACCTTGTTCCTGTCGGGATGTATGAATTTGTATGAAAAAGTGATTCAAGTGGGTTGTATGTTTTACAGCCACTCTGAAATAAGGTTTCATGTCAAGTGAAGGACTGAGTTATAGGGTGTATCTGGCACCAGGCTTAATTGGGGTTACAACCATGAAGCTATCCAGCTGTGCCTTATGCACTTGTGACCCCAGCACACACACAGACCACATTCCTGCAAGGGGAGGGGGACTGGAGGGAGAGAGAATATTTGCAGAGTCTGATACAAAATATGGTTGTCATTGTCCATATCTGTACATACAATTATCACAATGGGGACAGCCAGATGTGGATTTATTTGCGACAAAGGAAAACTGTAAGACAGACTTTTTCTTTTCTCTAGCGAGGGAAAAAACAGCGTTAGGAATAGATGTTCTGCAAAATGGATGGAAATTTCCTCCATGCTATGCATTCCCACCTATAGAACTGCTACCTCTGATTCTAATTGCACCTCATTGGCCAATATGATCATGGTTCACTCTCCTACGATCTTTAATGGAGACCCCACCTTGGTTTGTACCACTCAGGGCTGATTTATTGAGCCAGGGCCATCTACTTCACCCTCAGGTAAAGCAACTAAAATTTAGCAGCCTGGTTTCTAAGGAAGATATCTTGAGAAATATGGGAATATCAAGAAGAGTGATTGCAACTCTGCTGGAGAGTCGCAAGCCGGTTACGAGAGCTATATATGGCAAGATTTGGAAGAGGTTTAATTCCTGGCTTATAGGGAAGAAGATAGAAGCACCCTCTATTCCTGCCATTTTTGAATTCTTGCAAGATGGCGCGGATATGAATTTGTCCGTAAGCACTTTAAAGTTGCAAATGGTGGCTCTCAGTATTTACCTACAGTCACCCCTTCAAGTCACCCCTTCAGAAGATCTGTAAAGCTTTGCTCAGGAAAAGACCGGTCAGGATGTCTAACTGCCCAAATTGGGACTTGTCGGGAGTATTAAGGGGGCTTAGTGGTGCCCTTTTTGAACCTTTAATGAAAGTTGACCTAAAGGTTTTGACTTGAAAGATGTTTTTTTGGTAGCAGTCACGACTGCTAGAAGAATTAGTGAGCTACAAGCTCTGTCTATCAGAGAACCATATGTGTCAGTTCTAGAGGATTCGATAATTTTGAGTACTGACCTGGGTTTTCTGACCAAGGTTTCTTCATAATTTCACAGAACCCAAGACAACATTCTGCTAGAATCCTGTGAATGAAAAGGAACAGAAGTTCAGTGTTCTGGATGTAGGAAGGTGTGCACTAGCCTACTTAGAATAAACCAAACCAAAACATTTTGTTCTTCGCAGGCACAGTTTATCTATGCAGGGAGTAAGAAGGGAAACCAGGCTTCCAAACCTACTCTGGCAAGATGGATAAAACAAGCTATGAATGAAGCATATAGAGCAGTGACAGAAGTTCCACCAGCCTGGTTTAAAGCACATTCTACTAGAGCACTGTCTGCTTCATGGGCGGAAAGGGCTGGCTCCTCCCCGGAGCAAATCTGTAGAGCGGCTACCTGGACTTCATTCTCAACAATTGTACGCCATTACCGAGTGGACCTTTTTAGCATCTCAAAACCAAGCCTTTGGGAGAAAAGTGCTCCAAGCAGTGGTCTCCCCCCAAGTAAGAAGGTTCTTGGTTATCATCTCAGGGGCTGTCCTGGAAGACGACTGGGGGAAAGCCGGAGTTAGACTTACCGGTAACTCTCTTTCAGGAATCTTCCAGGACAGCCAAGCTTCCCACTCGTGTTTTTTAATAATGTTGAAGTGGCATGTGTTATGTTTCTTTCTTCTATATTTTTTAGATCCGGCCGTCGGTACTCTTGCTAACTGAGGAAAAAGATGGGAGGTCCTTCTTTTATATTAAAGGTAATGTGTTTTCTGCCCTCAGGGAGGAAGAGATATATCTTAGGGGCTGTCCAGGAAGACTCCTGGAAAGAGAGTTACCGGTTATTCTAACTCCAGCTTTCCTTCTCTGCAACTAATAAATGAATAATGTACCTCATAAATGTTTAATCTTTAAAACAAGGTCTGTGGAGTCTCCATGCTTTAATTTGCTGAGAAATCACTTTGAAAAACACCCGCCCCCCTAGCATTTCTGGCCGCAGCCATCTTCAGTAAGGACAGATTGCTTGAATTCCTGGAATTTAGAATCCATCTGCCCTTAGCTCAGGCATGCAGGCAGGAGGGCGTGCTTAGTTGAGAAAGCCCTTCCTCCTCCCCTGAAGACTCCTGGGATGTGTGACATCATTTACGTCCATGACTAAGCATCTGAAGAATTGTAAAAATAAAAGTTTAAAACAAGTAAATATGATATCCTTTCCTATTTACTAATATTAGTAGCATAAGGATTAAAAAGTCAATGCTGATTGATTTCAGTGTTTATTGATGACACCAAATCATGCACGGAAATGCATTTGGCACTGGGTGTAGAATTATTAAATTAAGACCTTGCGAAAATATGGGGTTGGGCAGCTACAGGGCAGATGAGGTTCAATATTGAAAAATGAAAATTTATGCACTTGGATGCCAAAAATACACATGCAGAAAACAAATTAGGAGGGACTCCCCTGGGATAATTAGTGATGGAATCTGGGGATGCTTATAGATCACAGACTTAGCAATAGCCTGCAATGCCAGGCTACAGCTAACAAAGCTAAAAATGTATTCTCATGTATTAAAAAAGGAATAAATGCAAGAGACAAATCAATAATCCTACACCTTTATACAACACGGGGTTCAGCCACATCTTGAATATGCAGTTCAGTTTTGGTCACCAATCTTTGGGAAAGAAGTTGTTGAATTAGAGTTCGGTAAAGGGCAAAGAAATTAATAAGGGAATTGAGGACCTCAACTGTGAGGATCAGGTACACAAATAACAAGTATTCACTCTAGAGAAGAGGTGCTTAAGCGGGGATCTGATTACATTGTACTTATATAACAATGGTGACTCTAGTAACTGTAGAAAATTGTGTACTCTAAGGTCCCTGAAGAGGAATGACAGCTATGATTTGATAGAAGAAAGGTAGTTTTATATTTGGTTTGAGGAAAGGGTTCTTTACTGTTAGATCAGTAAAAATGTGGCACTCTCGCCTCCAAGAAGTTTGTACTAGCTGAGAGTGTCGATGGCTTCAAAAAATGTAGATGTCTTTCTCAGGGAGCAGAATATACAGGTCATAGGAATTGTGGTGAATAAAAATCACACACACACAGGTTGAACTGGGTGGGCCTGTCTTTTTTTTTTTTTTTTTTTCTTCAACCTTATGTAAATTATGCAAACCCCAAGGCTACAAGTATTTATTTCATCACTTTTGCATGCTCATTTTTTTTTTTTTTGTTTTTGGTTATGGCTGTGAACACAGTTGATGTCTCTGGCTTTTTGTAAGGACTTTGTGGCTGCATTAAGTTGCCCACTGTTTGTGGGGAACCTTTGTTTCTGACCCCTGTTGTGTGGTTCATTTTGGGTGTTTTCCTGCCCCTTCCTCAGCTCCCAGACAAAACTCTTCCCATGGTGCTTCCCCATTGCACTCTATTTCTTTTGCCGGATAAGGACTTTATATTTTTATACATGTTGTATGGCTGGTGGATATCCTATTAAATATTTTTGTCTCCTGAAGAAGTGATTGTTTCTTCACAAAATGCGTTGAGTTGCAGGATTTCAACTGGGTGTTCTTATATGCATATATGTTATACAAATACTCATACTTTGGATATGCTTCATGTAATTGTAATATGATTTTAATTATGTATGTAAATAAAATTCAGATTTTTTTTAAGTACTGTATTTTTCGCTCCATAAGACACACCTGACCATAAGACGCGCCTAGGTTTTAGTGGAGAAAAACAAAAAAAAAATTATTCTGAACCAATGAACTGCAGACACCGTACAGGGGATGACCAGAGACTGCAGACACAGTACAGGGGATGACCAGAGACTGCGGACATAGTACAGGAGATGACCAGAGACTGCGGACATAGTACAGGAGATGACCAGAGACTGCGGACATAGTACAGGAGATGACCAGAGACTGCGGACACAGTACAGGAGATGACCAGAGACTGCGGACACAGTACAGGAGATGACCAGAGACTGCGGACACAGTACAGGAGATGACCAGAGACTGCGGACACAGTACAGGAGATGACCAGAGACTGCGGACACAGTACAGGAGATGACCAGAGACTGCGGACACAGTACAGGAGATGACCAGAGACTGCGGACATAGTACAGGAGATGACCAGAGACTGCGGACATAGTACAGGAGATTGTCAATGGGGTATGCAGCGCTAAAGAACAGATAACAAGCAAGGAGGGTGTCACCATATATAGTAGCAAACAAATAGTTCATATAATGTAGCAAGAAGAAAGCTGGGTATGATCCAATGATACTCCAAATCCCGTTCAACGGAAAGAGAAAAAAATTAGTAAGCATGTGCGCTTACCACAAGTACACACAATGTGAGCATTGTATGCAAATAAACAGCAACCGGGCGTCACGGTCTGGTCAGCAGCATGAACAACATCGGGTCATATGAGGACATCTGGGTCAACAGGTCCAACGCTGTCCAGGCCCCCTCTAGCTCTCAAATGCAGATCGCCACCTTGCAAAGCTCATCAAAAAAACGAGCCGGGAAGCAAGAAGGTACTAATAGTGAAGCACGTTTATTAAGAGCATAAGAAGTGAGCTAAAAGCAAGAACTCACATCGATATAAGTATACATCCAGGCCCAATACAAAGGCTCCCTGGTGGTTAGAGGTTCAAACAGCATGTAAAACATACACATCCAGGTCTGATAGATAAGTCCCTGGTGGCTAGTGGTATCATCAGCATAAAGGCATAAACCTCAAAATTTGTGGTAACAACAATACTCATCCAGGTCTGGTGAAGAGATTCCCTAGTGACTAGTGGTTCCCTGGTAATGAAGGCGTCAGTAGGGTGGATCCCCTAACATGTTTCGAGCAAAAGCTCGTTTTCAAAGGGGTAAATCCTGCCCTCAGACGGCAGTTTAAAATAGCCGCGGTCGCGCATGCACATTACGCGTCACGCGCTGCTCCGAGATACCGCGCATGCGCGAATGACGTCACACGCTGCCATGTAACTACCGCATCATCAGCATGGACGCTGAAGCCAGATAGCCATATCTGCCCACACATAGGCAGGCTTAAGGCGGGTCTAAACAGCTGCTCGTTCCTCCATGAAAACGGAGGCCAGAGCAGCATCTACAATACTGTAATCCAGTCTAGATACACTAGACCATCAGGGAAATATATCAAAACCATAAAATACAGCTGAAGACATAATAATGACATGATTTTTAAAAGAACAGCATATGTTCAATAAGATAAATATATAAACTTCTGGATCTCATTTTTTTATAATTCTTACAATGATCCATCAGTTAATGCGCCTCAGGTTAAAACATATAGTGCGTGAAACGTTAATCTAACAATAAGATCATAACTCATTTCAATAACTTATATATAGATATCATATACAAATAACAGGTGGTCAAATCAATCATAATAATCATATAATGTCATATAAAATAATTATGATAATTTAAAAGGATTGTCATATTTCAACTAGCCAAATAGGTATTATTAAGTAAAATAGAGCAAAACCGCTCACAATTGGGGAAAACAATCATCCTACACAATATTCTGGATCTCCCTATTTAAAGTGAACCTATTTATGTAAAAGAGGGATACAAACAGTCTATGAATAAAATCATAAATAAAAACATATATATATAGCTGAAACAGAAATTATTGCCCAGCTTATAAAAATGAATTTGAACCCAGTGACGACGTTCCAACACTAAGTGATGAAACCATATAGTAAATACACCCAAGATGGGATGTGGTAGAACAAATTTATCAAATTAATTGTAAATAAAATTAAATCAAACCATAGTATAAATAGCACAGTGGACAGATTAAAACCTATAATAATAGAAAAGCCATAACTGTAAAACAATAAAACCTGATAAAAAAGGAGAAATCAACTATTATCAATAAAACAGTTGATGTCCAAGTCAACATTCAGGCCTTTGGGTTGAAGAGACTTGAGTTCCACTATCCACTTAGTCTCAAGACGGGACACTGCTCTCCTCTTATGCCCCCCCCTCCAATGCTGGTCAATCACATCAATAGCTGTGAATTTTAGAGTTGAGGGGTCTTTAGCATGATAGTCCTTATAATGCTTGGATAATGAGTGGTACTCAAAACCCTTTTTTATATTATTGTAATGTTCCCTGAGGCGATCCCTCAGGCGTCTTGTGGTCCTGCCTACATATTGGAGGTTACAGAGACAGTGCAGAAGGTATACTGTATGCGTAGTATTGCATGTTATTGTCTGATGTATGGTATATCTCTTTCCCGTAATACTAGATCCAAAGTCCCTAACTTTCATTACCAGGGAACCTCTAGTCACTAGGGAATCTCTTCACCAGACCTGGATGAGTATTGTTGTTACCACAAATTTTGAGGTTTATGCCTTTATGCTGATGATACCACTAGCCACCAGGGACTTATCTATCAGACCTGGATGTGTATGTTTTACATGCTGTTTGAACCACTAACCACCAGGGAGCCTTTGTATTGGGCCTGGATGTATACTTATATCGATGTGAGTTCTTGCTTTTAGCTCACTTCTTATGCTCTTAATAAACGTGCTTCACTATTAGTACCTTCTTGCTTCCCGGCTCGTTTTTTTGATGAGCTTTGCAAGGTGGCGATCTGCATTTGAGAGCTAGAGGGGGCCTGGACAGCGTTGGACCTGTTGACCCAGATGTCCTCATATGACCAGATGTTGCCCATGCTGCTGACCAGACTGTGACGCCCGGTTGCTGTTTATTTGCATACAATGCTCACATTGTGTGTACTTGTGGTAAGCGCACACCCTTACTAATTTTTTTCTCTTTCCGTTGAACGGGATTTGGAGTATCATTGGATCATACCCAGCTTTCTTCTTGCTACATTATATGAACTATTTGTTTGCTACTATATATGGTGACACCCTCCTTGCTTGTTATCTGTTCTTTAGCGCTGCATACCCCATTGACAATTTATATTTTATAGGTATTGAGGATTACCCTGTATGTTAGCTGCTTACCTGATCTGTTTGCGCTCACTTACCCATCTCCTACATTTATAGTACAGGAGATGACCAGAGACTGCGGATATAGTACAGGGGATGACCAGAGACTGCGGATATAGTACAGGGGATGACCAGAGACTGTGGATATAGTACAGGGGATGACCAGAGACTGCGGACATAGTAGAGGGATTGACCAGAGACTGCGGACTGCGTACAGGGAATGACCAGAGACTGCGGACTGCGTACAGGGAATGACCAGAGACTGCAGACAGTAAAGGAGATTACCAGAGATTGCGGACCTTTGGGGAGGGAGGGGAGAACGGGTACCTGAATTTGACAGGTACCCGCTCCCACTTCCGCGGAGTTGTCCTTCCTTCACGCGGCGGCTTCTGTGACAGCCGGGTGCCCACTGCGCATGTGCGAGAAGCGCTGCGCTTTGTGAATGGCCCAGAGCCTTCTGGGACCTGTCGTGTCCCAGAAGACACCGGACCATTCACAAAGCGCAGCACTTCTCGCGCATGCGCAGTGGGCACCCGGCTGTCACAGAAGCCGCCGTGGGAAGACTGCAGCGCTGGAGCAAGAAACAGGTAAGGTCCTGCAGGAGAGAAGAGCTGAGCGGCCGGCCCGATATTCTGACATGGTGGCGGCAGAAATACCAGACCGGCCACTTTACATTCGCTCCATAAGACACACTGACATTTTCCCCCCTTTTTTTGGGGGAAAAAAAGTGCGTCTTATGGAGCGAAAAATACGGTATGTATTGATTTGTTTTTGCGAGGTGCAACTATTCCAAAGTCCCATGGGTAATGTTTTAAATTGAGAGTTCTTATATATTTACAGATTGAGCTTCACCCATATCCATGACACTGTGGCCTCTTGTACTGTGCATATCACTTTTGGCATTTAGTATTGTGACATCTCCATTTTATATTTTACAAAAAATCTGGTATTATGTTGTGTTAATGTGCACTAAATTAATTCTACTTTTTTTCCAGAAAATACAGATTAGATAACCATTTGCACAAATATCTTGCAACATAAAAAAATGCAACAACCACTATTATTCTACGAGGTCTATGCTTTCAGAAAATATATAATTGTTTGCAAAAAATGCAGATTTTAATAGGTTTGAAAAATTAAAGAACTGTCCTGGACTTGAAGTAGTTAAAGATGTTGTCATTGTTAGGCCCGGTGTTGTCTGCTCAAACAGGAAGATAAATGCTAACTGGATTTCTGGCAGATCAACAAGTATTTTTCTGTACTTGCAACAGGTTTTAAAGGGGCAAAACATGGGAGATCTTCACTTATTGCAGAGATGCACTGAATAGCTTTTTTTTTTTTTAATTTTTATGCAGACAGACTTTAATACTTTAACAGCTGTCAAAAGTGATATCTCATCCCACTTCAACAAGATTTTCTCTCACTTCTTATTGTGTCTCTGGGGCAAGCCGGTTTGGAAAAACTTCCCCACTGGGGGGCACAGGCTGCAGTAACATCTCAACAGAGATTCTTATTTTTTCTGCTATTTCCAAAGCTGAAAAGAGCTGTTTGTCTGTTTTAGCTTTAGTTAATATTTGTTTGAAGCGCTAGAATACTTTTTATTGAACTTGAAATGATAATTAGTTGTTTCAGCGTAGCATTTAAACGTTGTGCTGCTGTGTATGGACTCTATCAATTGTGATTTCAAGGATTGCTCTAGCAGTTATACTACAATTTTGCCTCACAGAAATGTCTTGCTAAAAATATACACTGCCAATACAATGTCTGACTACATATTTGTGCCAGGGGACACAATGTACTTTTGGAGCTGCAACTGTGTTTTTTTTCTGTAGCTATACAGAGTCGTGATGATGGATCTGCTGGATATTTTCAACAAGATGCTTTAAGTCTTCAACCTACAGAAATTAAGCCAGATGAAACTGGAGGTATGGCACTGTTTAAAAATATAAGAAAACCCCAAAAAACTAAAGTTATTATAGAAAGGGACAAATGGCTGTTAACATATCATGCTATTTAGTTAAAGGGCTCTTTATATTCCAACCTTCATCATATTCTCAAAGCTCCAAGCTGTTCCTATAGACCCATGTACTTTAAAGGGGTCAATATGAACACCATGTATACTTACGGATTTCATACAGCTATATTTTATAATAATGTAATGTCTGTGAGCAGACCAAGAAAAGCACCTGCTTTTCTAATTATTTGTTACTTTTCATGTAGATAGTGATTATATCTCCAGTCAAATGTAGTTTGATGTCAGACTGACTCACAGGGTAAGGTCTAGCTGTTGAGCCGATTTACTGTTTAGCCAGACATTCATTTTATGCACCTGTCTGCCCTTCTAAATGAATCACACTGGTCGCTGTTAAGCTTCAAAATGACTTTGTACCTAATGCCATGAAAATTAAAGAAGAATTCCAGGCATGTTAAATCTTTATATAGTTATATATAGTTTATATAGTTACTTTGGTGCAGTGGGACTAATGTAACAATGTATATATATCATACCTGCCCAATGCCCCGGGAATTTGGTAATGACTGACGTAGATCTGACAAGGTGGGGAGCATGATGCCTCTGCCCTGCGTCCACCTCATCCAACCAGAGAATGCTTTGCATAATTCAAATCATTCTGTGAATTGTGCCTGTGCTGAGTGGCCGACCTCCTGTGTTTACAATGTATCAGGCTATCCACACAGCAGGGGACCCGGAAACAAGTGAGGATCAGTAGAGTAATGGTGTCTACATCAGTGGTTTGCGGCTTCCTGTGTCATCTGTCAAGTATGGTGTATATATATGTAGTTGCATTGTTTCAAGCTGGATACCATGCCTGGTGTAGCCAATCACAGCATATCAACAGAAAGTAAGCTGCCATGAATGAAAAGCCATTCATGACAGCTAACTATTGCTTATAACTGGTTCGGTATTGAGTATTGCACCCCCTTGTTTGCTTTGCAGGTGTGGCAGATCTGGCACTAGGTGATTGGGACTAAATTCCCTTTTTAAAGAGAGCAATTTCCTAACATAAATTAATTTATAGGGCAGCACACCACCTCTGGCTCCAAGGCAACATCTGTAATTCTGGGTCGCCTTCCTAAGGGACCTTCTTGTCACTTTTTAAGACTTTTCTGGTATGGACAAAGCACATGATGATAGAACCTGGAGCCTTTGGGGTCCAGTTCATCTGCCAAGACAGCACTTCCCTGAACCGTTGTACTTCTGTGTGGATGGGTTGGAATATTCTCTCCGGGAACTCTCTCACAGGGGATTTATGCCAGTGCACATGATGTGAGGCCTGTAAATGCTGGTAAGCAGGTGGAACGTATGCCTTTTCAAGGATGAACACCTTTTTGACTATTGACTGGATACATTTATCCAAAAAATCCTGGGAGGAAAGAATAATTTTTGTACCTCTAATGGTATGGCAAAAGCCTTTGGAGCAGCAGCCATCTTCACCTGGAACAAAGAACAGATCTTTTCCTTCTCTTTTCGAAATTCTCAGGTGAAACACAAAATTTCCTCTTGGAAAAAATTTGGAGCTCTATACCTGCATAGACAGGCAACAAACCTTCCTTACATAGAAGAGGTGTCCCCACTTTTTCGGGGGGGGGGGGGGGGGGTGCTTGGCAGCCTTTGCGGGCTATGGACTCAAGATATCTCTGACACCTTGTTTTAAAACATTGTGTCCAAAGGCTACATGCTGGAGTTTCATGTCTTGCCTCTTCCACGCTTCAATCACACAAGTCGAACTTGCCTACTTCACTCAACAAAAAAGCAGCACTGTTTACTTTTCTGGACCAGTTGAGCTCTCAGTGGGGGTTTATCTCATGTTGATCTTTCAACATGTTCACGATGTCTAAGGCCAGTGGCAACATGCGTCCCATTCTGGACCTGAAGGTCTTACATAATCTAAAGTTCTGTATAGAATCTGTACAGTCAGTGTTTGCTTTCTCCACCTGGGGGATTTCCTAGCTTCTGTTGACACTGGATGCCTATGTCCTTCTTTAACGTTACCTGCGCTTTGGGGTGGTTATAACATTTTCAATTTGGCCTGGCCAAGCTACAGTGAGTATTCATGAAGGTGCCCAGTTTTGGCCCTTATGCATACCTCTTCTGGGGTGTCTGAATGTTCTGCTCCTGTAGGAGCAATTAAGAGACGTACAAGTACTGCAGGACTTCAGCTGTGTTCTCAATCTCTAGAAGTTAAGCTGGCTATAGATTATTTTTTTTCTTTCAACCACAGGTTAAAGCAAAGAAAACTATTTGATTACCCCATCAACACAGTCAGTGTTGATGGGGAATCCCTCCCAGTGTCCTAATGTATTTTGAATGTGAGAGGTTTCCCTGGTGCCAGAATACAACTATTCCTGCTGGCATTATTCGTACAAAAAACTCGACAGGTTGGTTGTATTGAAGTCACTTGGTTGACTTAAGTACAACCAGCCTGCCCATAGTTAGATCGAAATTTGTCCCTTTCAGCAGGAACCGGCTGAATTTCGATCTGTCTGTGGCTAGCTTTATACTTGAAGTCATTACACTGAAATGAGCCTCGGGACGTGCTGACCCATATTCTCAGTTTCATTCAAGACTGTTGCAACTCAGTATCCTGACAGCATGGGACAAAAGAACTCTGTCTATGGATCACCCCCATGTCTCTGAGCACCATGACCAGGTTAGCTTTTGAATGGTGGCTGTCCAGCCCTGGAGTCTGGGAAATCCTGTTTCCCCATTGTATGGAAAGTACTAACGATGCATGCTAGCCAGTCAGGCTGGACAGGAATCCTGAGCTCTGCCAGCTCATGGGATGTAGTCACCAGAGGAAGCCAAGATGCCTAATAATCTAGAGCTCAGAGGGATGCAGCCTGCCTTTGGCGCTGGACCCCCCTTATTTGTGGACTGCCTGTCAAGGACCAATCTGACACCTCACGGTAGTGGTATACATTTTCAAGGCAGTACCAGAAGTCAGGTTGCTTCCAGAAGCAGTGATCATTTGGACTTGGGCAGAACTACATGTTCCAATTCTATCCACAATCAGATTCTTGCTGTGAAAAATTGGTGGGTGAAATTCTTCAGTGTCAGAGTGGTAGGCAGGAATTTAATGGCATCCAGACCCAAACACAAACTGGACAGGGATTCTTTGTCCTTTGGGGTAGATGCCCTAGTCACTCTGTGGAATCAGTTCAAATTGATAGATGCATTTTCCTACGCCAAAGGAAGGCATTCTGATGATTCTCTTCACACCAAATTAATTCAGCACTGTGCAGTACAAAAACCTAGTCGGACTCTTGGTGACCCTTATTGGACTGTGCGTACCTTCTCTTTCAAAGTCCTATGATTCATCCTGCTTTACAGTCATTGTCGCTTTGGAAGCTTGTCTGTAGAAGCCCAATTCCTGTGGGTCGGAGTCTTGCAGACTTTTCTGAAGGGTATTATTAAGCTCCATTCTTGTGGTGTTTACCAGCGCACATGGCAATTGTACTTTTGCTTGATTCAAATAGGGACATTTTTTATCCCACGAAATACTCTCCTGACACTGGTTTTATTTTTTCTTTAGTCAGGACTGGGCAAGTCCTTAGCCTTGACTACAAAAGGTCAAGTTTCTATCTTGGTGGTTCTTGTTCAGAGACTGCTAGCTTCCGAATGCTTCGTTTGAGCCTTTGTGCAAATGATGGCTCACATTGTTCCTTCAATACGTTCCCCACTAACTCTATGGGACCTCAATATGGTGTTGTCAGTCCATTAGAGACCAGTATTTTAACATATTCAGAATATTTATCTCCCTCTTCTGTCACATAGGGTTGCTAGTATAGGAAAAAAAAAATAAGTCTTTATGGCTGGGGGTGTAGTTGCTATCATCCCTGTTTTTTGTATAACATGCTAATTTGTACCTCAAAAATGGGACTTTAAAGGCAACCATACGATTAAATCCAAGATTACAAAATGACTATTTTTCATTTTTAAAAGAATAGATAGTTTAAAAAAAAAATGTCACAATATATATAGTTCAAGACATGGTAGACGTTCTAAAATAATGTACATGAAAGGGTGTATACATTTACATATCCATTATACTCATTATACAAAATGGTATTCCCCAATTGCTGATTTCTGAAAACTGCACAATTAAATAATCCTCAATGCAGGGTTAATTCAGCCATAGGGTACCCAATTCGTTTCCAGCTTTTCAGAACTTTCTCTTTCTCAGGGATATGTTACCGCTGTATGGAGTGCAAGAATTCATCATCCGCATAAGATACTATGTTACAATAGCACATTACATATTGCCCACAATTAAAGAGAGAAATTCACAAGCCCACTTACATATAATGCAAGATAATTCAAAGACAGATGCCACCTAAGAACTGTCGCTGCTCCCAACATATGGGAACCTTGAGAACATTAATAAGACTGCCAGGCCAATACTCAAATTATCACTAAGCAAAATATAAAATATCAAGAGTATGTCCAAGGAGGCTAAAATACCCTGAGAGGCCTAACTTGTAAGATGTATATACTCCTAAATAGCACTATTTATGGTTGGTGTGGAGAGAGATTCATCCCTGAAAACATAAATGTGGGCATAAGATGCTCAAGATCAATAATAAAACATGTATGCAGATGATATAGATATTTTACAATGGGATTATATAATTAGATATTCTATAGCCAAGATATAGGATAGGACTTGAATATACAAAGAGTATATACGTATATATGTACAAGGGCATATAATCCTATATAGGTATAACAAGGGGCCATATTTAAAACTTAGTACACACTAAGTATGCCTTTTAAATGATCCTTAACATTAATAATGACATTATTATTGTTTTTAAAGCTAATCTTATAAATAATGAAAAATACAACCATCATTTTTTTAAAGTGTTACTAAACCCACAACAGTAAAATCAGTCAGTATATGCAGTAAAGCATGCTTGTTATACTCACTGTGGAACCTAAGGGTTAATCCTCTGCATTGTGTAAAAAGGCTGCTTGATCCTTTCTTCTCTGCCCCTTCTCTTGTTTAAATGACCACCTGATACAGACTGAATCTGTAGTCACATGCACATGCTCAGTTTGGTGTACATTGCTAGAGAGGTTTGTTTTTTTTTTTCTTGGGAGAGTGCATGTGATCAGCACAGGGCCAATCAGCATTTTCCAGACAGAGGGTCAGGGGTTTTGGAACCTTTTCTTGTACTTCACAAGGGCAAGGTTTTTTTTTTTTTTGAGATCAGGAAACTCCTTCCTGCCAAAGGTGGTCTTTGCATTTCGTAGTTCTGAGGACATGGTGCTGCCCTCCACTGCTTGGCTGCGGTTAGGGCAGTGTGGATCTACCTCACAGTTATGGCCTCAGTTTGGCGATGTGCTACCTCTTACGTGTTGCTTGAAGGGACAAGCTGCCTCTCAATCGACAGAAGCTATGTGGATTTAACAATTCGTCACTCGAGCTTCTGACCTGAAAGGTAGAGTTCCATTTTCTGGCCTTTGTTTCCCAGGGCATTAAGGTGTATCCCTTCCTATTTTAGGATTTCTAATGCCTGTCAGACATAGGCAGAGCCATATTAAAAGTGGCTGCAGATTTGTTTATTTCTTTGCTTGTTGAATAAAGACTGCAGTGGTAACACAAAACTATTACTTTTAATCAATTTAAAATGTATTCAATTGTTTACCTACTGCCATACTATAATTTGTTCTATACTCTTTGTCTACAAACAGTATATCACTGTAAAGCTACATGCTTGAAGTTTTCCACGTTTCCATGGCTGACAATAACTACAACTGATAAGCATGTACTCTCCTCTAATGAATGGTAAGTCCCAATTCTATCCAATAGAATCATTGGTAACTCACTGTTTTCTTTTTTTCCTGCAATGTTTTGTAGTGTTTTTTTCTAGTCTTGGATAGCGAGGGGAAGGTTGGAACCCCTGTCAGGTTTTTACTACCATCTGAGGTTCCATTAAGCCTTTAATCCTCACTTCCTGAAATGTTGTTTTAAAGTTGACACTGTGTTAGCCTGTGAACATTCCAGCACATTTTAGCCTGTGAATACAGCACATTTTTCCATCTCTGTCAGGCTCCTATTGACAATGCCAAACTGGTTCGGATTGGGCATGTCCTTCCATTTATAAGCTATGGGACTCCGTAATTCATTTTTATAATTTACGTACTCGAGCTGGTCCCAAACTTTCCAGAATTGGTGCTTCTGACCCTTTTTCTCTGTCGTTATCCCAAGTTAAAAATTCTTTTTTTTTAAGCCATATTCTTAAGAGAATGTATATTTTTGACTGTATTGTAATACTTACTGTCTTTTTTTTTTTAACTTCCCTGGAGGTATTCCCAAGTGTAGCTTGGGGTGAAGTTTCAGCACCACAAGTGGTAACCCCGAGCTACACTGGGGAATACCCTGCAGCGCTGCTCCGGGATCTCTTCTTCACTTACCTTGTCCTTCGCTTCCGCGATGTCCCCCCTGCAACGTCCCCAGCAATGTCCTCCGGCCGATGCCGGCATCTGTCTTCCGGGTTCTGTTCCCTGTGACATCAGGACGTACGGGGACGGAACTGGCGGGAAATTTAAAAATGTCAAAAAGTGACATTCACTCAATACACTAAAAGCACATAGTATAACATTACTGTATCAAACCATTTCACATACATTTTGTCCCGAGTGCTTTGTCCTGTGCCTGCCTGCACTTTTACTGTTCTTTCTGCCTGGAAACTGAGAAACGTCCATGGCGTCCAAAAAGCGTCCCTTTAGGTCAAAAGCGGTTTTAGACCAGCTAGAGAACAGCGATAGTAAATTAGAACTATTTGCAGAATTGAGTGATGATTCGTGGGGAAATTCCTATCAGACACTGAAAACAATTTTGCGACTTTGCTCAGTGATGTGCGAACTTGGTGCTTTATTTCAAATTTCAGTGTTTTTGGTTTGATTATATTATTGAATTAAATTTATTATTTTTTTTTATTATTATTTATGAAATTATAATATATGTTTTCGTGTTTCAAATTTTAACATACAGGGGATGCTTACTAGTCTCTTGTTCGGCTGATTTCAGTGAGTTATTCCTAAAAATTACAGGCCTACAAGAAAAAAACTACATATTTCCATGCAAAAAAATGTACCGCTTTGAGCACAGAAATACTGACATAATCAGACCGCTAGGGAGGCTATGCCATATTCTTGAGAGAATATATATTTTTGACTAATGTTTTTCTGTTACGTCCATACCTTTCCACTCTATTTTAGATCTTTTAGATTATTGGAACGTACGTATCTACAAAATGTGTCTTTGTTCTATTATTTCTTTATTTTTGTATTTTTATATTTGATATCAGTACATTTTGTTTATGGATTGTAAATAGTCCACTCTCTTCTGGAGATAGGGAAGACTTTGTTTTTATATTTTTCCTTTTTGATAACTAATAATAAACATATATTGCTTCAAAAAGATAATGTTATGATTTCCTATGATAACAATGGACGCTGCGGGTGACATACCTGGAATACATGCATTTAGACTGTACATAGTTTCACCTACATTGCAAATGGCTTTGAGAGACCAAAAATCTAGGGAGCTATTTTATTTAAATACCAACCTCCGTTCTGAAATTTGAGCTCTGGAATGCTCCTGTGCTCCACTCCAGATTCAGTGCAGTGATGTGTGGTCTTACCAATTGAAGTACAGGGGAAGGAGTGGGCCAGATCTCCAAACTTCAGGAGCTGCGGTTGGAGTTAGTTTACTAGACCATCAGGTTTTTAGACTTCCAGAACTATCTAAAACAGGCATTTCTAAATAGCGAACTGTACCACTGCCCCACCCGGACCATGGTGGTCACAACTTAGGTGCGGTCTATTTCCCCTACCCTCCACCACTATCCTTTTCACAGCAGAGCAGAGGTCAGGAGGCGTAGCACTGGATGGAGGGCGGGAGCTTTCCAAGAGAACGTTTCAAGTTAATATGAAAAGTTAGCTCCTGCAGCTCCCGCTCTTGGCCTCTGTCCAGTGCTGCTGTGCCGCTCTGCTGTGTACTCTTGTCAAGTCGGAGTGTTAAGGGGCTAGAGCACGGCAGTGAAGAATGGAGGGAGGGGGGTGATGGGAGGTGATGTGAAGGGGCAGAGACTGCTGTGGGGAGTGCGCAGAGGAGTGCACTATTATTCGGGGAGGGGGGGTAAAAGAGGGGGCAGAGAAGGACACCGATGTCTGTGGGGAGATGGGGGTGAAGGGGGGCAGAGGAGGACACTTATGTGGGTGTAAAGGGGGACAGAGGACACTGCAGTGGGGGGAGGTTGAGGATGACACTGATCTGGGGGGGGGGGGGCAGAGGAGGATACTACTGTGAAGAGGGGGTGTGATGTAAATGGGGAGAGGACACTACTTTTGGTGGTGGTAGTGATGGGGGGGGGGGGTTTGATTTGAAGGGTTGAGGACACTGCTGTAAATAAAAGGGGTGTGTGATGGGGATTCAGAAGACTACTGTGAAGGGAATGGGGGGAGGTTTTGTCAAGGGGGGCTTAGAACACTACAGTTAAAGGGGAACTGTTATTTGAATTGGAAAGCTGTGATACTGTATGCAGGGGGGACTGAGGACACTTTTATGTAAAAATGGGATTGAGATTTAAGAAGAGGGGGCTATGATGTAAAGGATCTGAATCATCGCACAGACCTCTGTTGTAGAAATTTTTTTTTCTGTGAATTTTAATTTGGTATTCCTGATTTAAATGTTTGTGGAACTACCTGCAGGCGCTTTTGGCTGTCTTCTATCCATGTATGCTGCCCGTACATTTTATTTAGGGTATGGACTTGTTTACTTTTAAAGAGTTAATTCACCTTAAAAAAAAATAAAAATAAAAAAATGCAATTTAACATCCTACACATACCTTAAACCCCACAACCCTGGTCCCAGCTGCATTTACCCCCGTAAGTGATACAGTTTCATCGTCCATGCAGCCCAGTGCAGCAGTCCTGGGGTATAAAAACCCAGCTGTTCTTCCTCTTCTTTCCCTAGAGATGCCAGGATGGATCGGAGTGGTTCTGAGAGGTCAGCACAGTCGTGTCTGCCCTGACTAATCAAAACTGTTGTGATCTATCCCAGCATCCTAAGTTAGGCTAGTTTCTCTTTCTGAAACGGTGAACTAACCTTTTAATCCTAAGGGTTTATGTACAACAAAACCTTCGCCATTGGTTAGATCTTGCTCTGTTTCTCAGATCATCTTCTAATCTTTTTACTTGCTTTTGAAATTCCTGGTCTTGGTTTGGAAATGTTTTTTATGCTTTGCTTATTATACTGCATAGTTCTTCTTTGAATACATGCCATAAACACGGAGTGCATTGCATGCAATTTTAACGGCTGTTTGTATACTATCTCACAGTGAACCCTGCAGTTCACACATGCTAGGACCCAATGAGAAGCATGCTTACTTATAGTACCCTAATGAACATAAATGTGATCACTTCCTGGGGACAACAAATAACTTCCAGAACCTATACAAAAATAACTGAAGTAGATAGATGTAATTAATATATATTTTCACTGCTTTGCCGTACTAAATTAAATTTGTCAGAAGGGTGAAGATGGACTATACAGTATTAATAATACAGTCCTATAGGGAGGAAATATACAATTATAAATAAATCACACAATATGGGATTTTAAGCGAGATGTCAAATTTAATAGAATTTTGCATCAGTGTGAATTAAGCTTGCAACATTTTTTCTCTCGTGTTGACACGTGTAATTAAATCCGGATACCTAGTTGTTTTTTTTTCACTCTGAAAATTAGTTTTCCACTCTGCAAGGAACCTTTTTTTGAAGAGGTGCACAGAATTATATTATTACTTTTACTACCTCTGTTTATTATTACCTAGATAAGGTACTGGGCTACAGCATATTTATTGCTGTCGCAGATAAACTGCAGACACGAGGCCAGCTCGAGATTTCACAAATGGATGTGATACAACATACATATATTTGTCAACTCCCCAGAGCATCACAAATGGCCGAAAGATATGTCGTTATCAGGCAAGTGATACAAGGAATAAATAGTAGGAATACAGAAGCTTTGTTAGAGTCCACTGAGGATTTAGTACTGCTCATAAGCTTTATTCCCAGTTGCGGTTTTTGTTTAGCCTTGCTATGTGGTGACATTTGAGTCTGCATCATGTAAAAAAGCTAAGTCAATTGAGGTTTGAAGTGCAGTCTAATTTCTGTTCTCTTCAAGCTACTGATGGCAAACAATCTTGTGGGATGATTGAAGCCTTTGCAGCTTTATATTGTCTCGGCTGTGGAATTGTAAAAGTCAGCCCTTAGTCTTGATCGGTAAAAGGTGCAAGTGTCTCTTTGAATGGACGTGTTTCTGGACATTTCACAACGTTGTCTCCTACAGGCTGAAATCCCTTGTATGCGTGGGATTTTAATAGGTGCTTCATTATCATAACTATTTTAATTATAGGAAAATATTTGCCGCACACGAAAAATACCATATGCCCGTCTGCTGCAGTATTTTAGCTAGCACAAGCACAACTGTAAGTGCTTTTTAATTGCTCAGCCACTTTATTATTCATTTGCATTGCTGAATGTATTTTTATCTTTCAAAGACAAATATTCATGAATTGTTTTGTGCGGAAGTATAAAGCATCAAATAAAAAAGTCAGTACATTTCATCAGTAAACCTGGAGTATCTGCTGTTGATCTCTAGAATGCCAAAAATGCAACTTTTTTTTTTTCCTTTTCTGTAAAATTATTATGCTTTTCTGTCTGTGTCTACTGAATAAATACATAGTAAGTTGATTTTTTTTTTTTTCACACTTGACAGAGGTTCTCCTTTTTTTTTTCTTTTTTTGCTTGGTGTCAAATGTAAAAAAGCAAAGCCCAATTATATGTGTTATATTTATATTTTCTGCTACACTAAGCACTTTTTGTGAAATACAAAAGGCTTTCTCACTGTAAAAGTAAACCGGTATTGAGTGCCATGGCATATGCTGAAGAAGCAAAGGGCACAGTGCATGTAAGGTTTGTAAGAAAGCTGGCAAAAAGTAAGACACCTCAAGGCAAAATGGTTGCATGGTATAGTGGTATGTACAAATTGGTAATCCATTTTCCAACTCTTCTTTGCTCACAAATGAGGAGATCTTAATTGGTGGATATATTTTACATCCAAATGTTCTGCTGCACCTGAGTTGGTATGCCTTTGAAGAAATAATGGTAGTAAATATAGTATATTTTTACAAATAATATAGTGTATGTAAACCATCAGCTTGTAAAACAGCCCTTTCAGATTGAAATAGAAATGAAAGTCAAAACATTTGTGTATATGAAAAAAAATTTAAACACTTTTTCCCCCCCTTTTTTTTAATAAGTGATCACATTCCATCTGTTCTCAGCTGCATAAGATCTGGGAGAGGAGAAACAGCAGTAAACTGATATTCCCAGTGAATGGCTGTGCAGGGGAGATGTGTCAGAACAAGTCTGATCATTGGTGGAGAGCACACCAAGTTCCTAGCATAGCTAGAGAACTGACCACGGTGTGTTCTCATACTTAGTGTTGTCAGTTTTTAATAGGAAAGCAGAGGGACTGGCAGGAACACCAGGTAGTTCACACAAAGGAAGCAATGCAAAGAGAACAGGATCATTTTTCATACAAGTACATGGTACAGCAGGCACATTTCAGGAATGTGAAATGTTGGGTTTACATATTCTTTAAAGAGCTGCTTTCAAAATGATTTCATTATGAGAAGAGTGCAGTATGTGCAGTAGGAATCTTAAACTATATTTGGTTTTGTAGGGTTACTAATAGGAGTATTCTGAACCCTTTTTCTTCTGATCTCACCAGAGTGTACATTCAATTATTCCTTGTCAAAGTGACTGGGACAGCATTCTAAAATGCTGGAGTGATGAACATTTTTCTGGGGTGCCGTTTGTAAGTGGCATTTCAGAAAATGTACATGGACAGCCAGTGCGTGATATGAGACAATGTACACAGCTGTTTTGGAGTGGTTCTGTACCTTATTAGGGACGAGCTCAGGCATGTTCAAATACTAAATGGCATATAATGTAACAATTGTTGCTCTAGAGTGAATGGAATCTCACACGTGGGCATGAGGGGGTACCACATCCCTAAGGTGTGTGTGTGTGTGTATATGTATGTGTAAAATATATATCAAATTGACTTTATCGCCACTCCAAGGAATCTCACAAAACATTAAGTTAAATGTATATAAAAAAAAAGTATTCATCATTGATGGTAAATAATAAAAGCTAAGACATTTAAAATCCTACCATCATATATTTTTCCTCCATTTAATAATAAACTCCCTATTAGTATAGTATGTCAGCTGAAACCCAAAGGGTATACAGAACCTGCACTATAGGAGCCATATTGAGTAGCTATAGGGAGTATCCACAGTTCCTTGACGTGTTGCAGAGCATGCCACTTCCTTGGGAGGATAAAGGAATTCACAACGATTCAAAAAAAAATGTGTACAAATGTAGATATTCGCAACTTATAACAACCAAACCACATACAAAATTTAAATAGTTTACGGTATAAATTTATAACAGGTCTTGAGCTACAATTGGCATCAAGTGTGGTATTTCCAATGTTTGCAAGGTGTGTGGTCATCCCTGGGCGAGTGTGGGAGTGCATATAAAGGTGTCCCTAGAAGGACAATAAACAAACATGAAAAACAAAAAGATATATAAATGGAAGTGTATGCAACAAGGCAGAGTAGAGCATGTAATACCCCCCAAACAGAGTATAACCAATGAAGTGGGAACCTAACTGTATAGAGATGGTCTTTCAGAAACTTTAGATCTCAAATTATCTTTACTGATTGGAAGAAGGCCAAACTTTGTATAAAAAGGCACAAAACTTAGGTGGAGAGGTCTGCAATCTAGTCCAAATTCGCCTGAGCTATCCTGCCAGAAAACTATCACTACGGATCACCAACTATAAGGGGCTGAGGAATTCTTTTCCCCACAGCCACATGTATACACACACCCCTTGTATACATGCAGTAGCGGGACAGGAAATGCCTCAGCCACTTATGACTGGTGGTCCTTAGTGATAGCTTCCTGTTGGGATAGCTCAGGCCTTTTCAGGCTAGTATCTGAACACGCCTGGGCTCCTCCCTGGGATGACTAATCACATTGATCACTGCCCCATTAACGTGAATCGTTTGCATGCGGTGACGCTGCCCACTGAATGTGATGACGGTAAGTTTTGTGATGACCAAATATTTGAGGCATATGTATACTCCCTTATGGCCTTTGCAGCTTAAGGGGTAAGTGATAAGAGCATTTTAACCTCCTATTTGTTAAGACCCCTTCTCTCCCAGCCACAAGTGTAAACTAGGCCTTAGTAAATCAGTCTTACCGTGTCAGGTGTGTGCTTTGAAGTCACTATCTACTTAATTTTCACCTGTTTTTTATACATACAGTTTGTGGTCACTGGCCATTTTTTGCTTTCTTCTTTTTTTTGTATATACTGTATAGCTGTATTCTGTACAATTCAGGTTATCATTATTTGCTATACTTCGTATTTAACATTTGATTCTAAAAACCTTCCCTAGCTCTCTGAAAAGCAAAAACCATGGCTTAATCTGGAGAAGTTGTCAACTTCTGCAGGACGTTGTAATGGAAGATTTTCCTGCTGAAATCTTTCTTCAAAGACCGAAGATTGTAAAGGTTAGTCAGACAGTGACTGGATAATTCTATTCATGACATTTTCCAACTTGTTAGGATTTTCAGAAAATTTAAAACATGCTAGGATTTTCTGATTTTCTACTAAGAATAGAGAAGTGAGAGGTTAATTCTTGAGATATGTATATTTTTGAGATGCTATTTGGCTAAAGAACTTATGACTTTGATTTATGATATCTTTATTTTATACAGCTGAAATAAATGATTGTGCCGGATCACTAAAAATAATCGTTCCTTGCTCTCACTTTATTGGAGTCTTACTTTAAGGAATGTCAGATTCAAATGAAACCAAGAGTTGAACTGAGTAGAAAAAAATCCTTAATAGGCTGCATTAGGTCTGTTGAGGATCAGACCTACTCTGCTTCAAAAATATTACAGTGCTTCTGTAATTAACATAGTAAAAGCAACTTACAGTGTTATGTCCCCAGGCAAGGGACCAGATTATATTTTCTGAAGTATTCAACTGTGACATTTTGTAAGGAAGCATAACCTTTATATGTTTTTGAACTGGCTGGGTCCTCATTCACATTATGTTCAGAAGCTGGCTAAAAGCTAGCTAATGCCAGGGCATCTCCCTACAGTTTTTGAAGTGCCCTGTCCATCTGCACAGCTTTAGCCTATTTCACTATAATGTCATACACGACTTCTCTATAATTTGGGAGTAATGTGGTTTGGTAAGCCTCATTTGAATTATTCATGGTGGAGGTTGATTAATGTTTTTTATTTATATATATATATTTATTTATATATATATATATATATATATATATTATTATATACAGTATTTATAAAGCGCCAATAGTTCGCTCAGCGCTGTACATTACAAAGGGGGACAGGACATGTGACAGAACAATACCAATACAATGCAAAACATGAGGGGATCAAGGGCCCTGCTCTTTCGAGCTTACAATCTAGGAGGGAGGGGATGGTGGCACAGGAGGAGATAGCTGTGGGGGATGGAGTGGTAGAAAGAGTGGAGGAGGTTGGCAAGTTAGCAGGGGGTGGGGTAGGCTTCCCTGAAGAGATGGGTTTTCAGGGTGCGCCTAAAGGAGGAGAGTAGGTGATAATCTGATGGGTTGGGGCAGGGAGTTCCAGAGGATGGGTGACACCCTGGAGAAGTCCTGGAGGCGGGCATGGGAGGAGGAGACCAGGGAACTAGAGAGAAGGAGGTCTTGTGAGGAGCGGAGTGTGCGTGCTGGGCGGTAGTTGGATATTAGGTCTGTGATGTAGTTCGGGGCAGTATGGTGGACAGCTTTGTACGTTAGCGTTAGGATTTTGAATTTGATCCGTTGCGCAATAGGAAGCCAGTGGAGGGATTGGCAGAGGGGGGTGGCGGATACAGAGCGGTTGGAAAGGTGAATGAGTCTGGCAGCCGTATTCAGGATCGACTGAAGCGGGGATAGCCAGCGGCGAGGCAGGCCAGTGAGGAGGGAGTTGCAGTAGTCGAGTCGTGATATGATGAGGGAGTGGATGAGCTGTTTAGTGGTTTCTGGGGTTAGGAACGTGCAGATTTTGACGATGTTGCGGAGGTGGAGTCTGCACGAGTTTGTTAAAGATTGGATTTGGGGTTGAAAGGATAGGTTAGAGTCCAGAATGACACCAAGTACTCGGGCCTGCAGGGCGGGTTTGATGGTAGCGTTGTTGGATGTGACGGAGAAGTCAATGGGGGTGGTGTGCGGGCTGGGGGGAAGACAAGAAACTCGGTTTTGGAGAGGTTCAATTTAAGGAAGTGGAGTGACATCCAGTCTGATATGTCGCTCAGTAGGTGTGTGATTCGGGCTGAGACCAAGGGGGTGAGGTGGGGGGTTGAGAGATAGATTTGTGTGTCGTCGGCATAGAGGTGGTAGTTGAAGCCGTGAGAGTGTATGAGTTGGCCAAGGGAGGAGGTATAGATGGAGAAGAGAAGGGGCCCGAGGACAGAGCCTTGAGGGACCCCAACAGAGAGGGGGAGTGAGGGGGAGGTGGTAACATTATAGGTAACGCTGAAGGAGCGTTGTGACAGGTAGGATGAGAGCCAGGAGAGAGCAGAATCTCTGAGGCCGAGGGAGTGTAGTTTTTTGAGGAGGAGGGGGTGGTCGACTGTGTCGAAGGCCGCAGAGAGGTCAAGGAGTAGGAGCACTGAATAGTGGCCATTAGCTTTGGCGGTTAGCAGGTCGTTGGAGAGTTTGAGTAAGGCAGTTTCGGTGGAGTGTAGGGGACGGAAGCGGACTGTAGAGGATCGAGGAGGTTGTTGTCGTTGAGGTGAGAGCATAGGCGGGTGTAGACTAGGCGCTCGAGGAGTTTAGATGTAAATGGGAGCAGGGAGATGGGTCTGAGGTTGTTCGGGTCATTAGGGTCCAGGGAGGGCTTTTTAAGTATGGGGGTGATGTGTGCATGTTTCAGAGGGGAGGGGAAAGTGCCGGAGGAGAGGGAGAGATTGAAGATGTGGGTGAGGGAGCGTAGGATGGAGGGGGAAGGAGGTGTAGGAGTTGTGAGGGGATAGGGTCGAGGGGGCAGGTGGTGAGGCGGGCATCAGAGAGGATCTTGGAGACTTCCTCGATGGTAGTAAGGTCAAAGGTGCGGAGTGTTGGGGGAGCTTCAGTATGAGGAATGTAGGGTGGGGTGGAAGAGGAGGTCAGAGCAGTGGTGGGGCCGTGGGAGAGGGGTGATGAGGGGGTAGCTGAGTGAGGGTGAAGGGGGTTGGAGAGAGTTTGAGCAACGACGAAGTCCCTGCGGGTTATGTCGAGGGGAAGGGGGGATAAGGGGGTAGCTGTGTGAGAGGGGACGGGTTGAAAGGGCGTGTGAGTTGTGGCAATGTCCTTGCGAATTGTGTCAATCTTGTTTTTGAAGTGATTGGCAATCTCAAGGGCAGTGAGTGAGGTGCTGGGTGGTGGTGGGGGTGGAGAAAGTAGAGTGTTGAAGGTGGAGAAGAGTCGGCGAGGATTGGAGGAGAGGGCCTTGATGAGGGTCAAGAAGTAGGCCTGTTTGGCAGCATGGAGGGAGGCGGTGTAGGTGTGGAAGGCAGATTTGTAGCGGGTGAAGGCTTGTTGGGATTTGGTTTTGCGCCATAGTCGCTCCAGGGCACGACTGTGTCGTTTGAGGGTTTTGGTGTGATCAGTCTGCCAAGGCTGGAGCGGTCGGGGTCTGATGTTGCGTGTGGTTAAAGGCGCTAGTGAGGTGAGTCAAGGGCTGTTGAGAGCGTGTTGTTGTAGGCGGTCGTAGCCAAGTCGGGGGCAGGACAGGGGGAGGATGCTGTCATAGAGATGATCAGCTGCAGAGTGGAGGGGGGCAGGGTTAAGGTTGCGGAGGTTACGGCTGGTACTAGTGTGACATTTGGAGGGGTAGGCGTTTGAGGACGAGGAGATAGAGAAGGTAATCAGGTTGTGATCAGAGAGAGGGAAGGGGGTGTTAGTGAGGTTGTGGGGGGCGCAGCGGTTGGAGAAGACGAGATCCAGGATATTACCATTGGAGTGGGTGGTGGATTGTATGCACTGTGCAAGTGTAAAGGAGGAGGTTAAGTGGAGGAGACGGGCTGTGTCTGGGTTGTCGAGGCTGACAGGGATGTTGAAATCCCCAAGGATGATGGTGGGTAGCTCAGAGGAGAGGAAGAAGGGTAGCCAGGATATATATATATATGTATATATATATATATATATATATATATATATATAAAAAACCTTGGGTAAATTTGTGTGGACTTTTTGATTAAATCTTTACACAGTGGGTTTTATGCATAACTGTATAGAAAAGTGAAGGAACAGAGGTGAAGAGATTTTATGTTAGCAAAGTAAAACTGCTCTCCCTTTTGGTCTCTTTATGTTATGCTAAATTGTGCCTGCCACTTTGTGTTTACAGGTGCATTCAACTGCATGTAAAGCATTCTCATAATCACCCAATGCAGTTCCACTGACTCTGACTTAAAGTTGAACTCCAGACAAAAAAAAAAAAATATTCCTAAATAGGCATAAAAGATATAAATCCAATTTGTATTGCCTGTAAAAGTGATTCAGTGGCCGTATAGCTGATCGGATCGCTTTTACTCAAGAGAAAAAATGGTACAGGGATCATCGTTGTACCCTCAACACTTTAAAAAAAATTCTTGCCAAATACATTACAGAACCCTTAAGTAATAGATGTGTATGGATTATTATTGAAGAATAAGAATATTGTTTAAGGTCACTTTAGCCCATGTGCAGCTGTTTGGACTGTAAAGGAAATGAGAGTTTGCAGAGGATCCTATGCAAGCACAGCACATATACGTTCCAGTCAGATAGTTTCCTGCTGGGTTTTGAATCCTGCACCCAAAGTTGCAAGGCAACTTAGCTTTCTAAACTTGATTCCTCCGATTTGCCTTGCAATTTTACACTTATTTTTGTTTGTTCCGTATTTATTTTCTCAGCTTGACATATGTTTCGTTTATTTAACTAAGCAGTGCTTTGTGTCAGCCTGCAAGCATTAAATTATTCTGTTAAATGTCTGTGAATGTGCTTGTCAAATCGTTGTCTTTAGCTCTGTGTCAAATGTATTATGCATTTAGAGCCTTCTGTCTTTACTGGGCCTTGCATGTGAAAAAGATGAGCAGCGGCATTTGGCATTCCAGGCTGCATCATGTCTGCACCACTTAAGTACCCTGTTGAGAAGCAGATTGAACTTTCACAGGGATCCGGGATTTTTAAGTACTAAACAGGGTAAGTATTATCTTTTAAGGTTTTTACTGTTTTTATGTAAATTTGTAAATCCTGGCGAATTGAGAAATTAATATGCTGACTGGTTATTTTTATGCCTGGAAGTAATTCCATTCATTAAGAGCTATTAGGCCTTGTACAGCAGGCTTTTACAAAGTGTGTGTAAACCTTCCAGCAAATTTCAAGTAGCTTTGTTGAAGGCTTTAAAACAGAGATTGAGAGGAACTTCACCTTATCTAGCTAATTATTTTTATTTCTAGTTCCTGATAATTGATTCTATATGTGTATAAAAAAGCCTACATGCTAATCCATGGAGTCCAGCATTATCTTAACTAAGTTCTTCTTCGACTCTGTGCTCCCATGCTGCCCACTTGTCTATCCCATGGATGTGCTGACATGCTGCAGGTCTTCTCCAAGTCTATGATATCTGGCAGACACTCATGTTTTTTTCCACTCATGCATGGGATATTGTTCCAAAATGGCAGTGTGACAGCTCCCCCCATGCATGTGCAGACCACAGCACTTCTTGACCAGTACCCAGAGACTGGAAGAGACATTTGGCACTCTGCACATGTGCAGGGACTCCTTGTCCTGAAGCCTGTATGTACAAGGCCTTAAAACACTCCTTCATATATCAGTTTTGAACGTGCTTTCTACTCAAATTGCTGATCATTACTTCACCCAACTCTCCTTTTTTTTTTGGTTAGATTTGGGTAGAGAAGGGTAGACGAAATGGGTAGTGCAGTTGTTGCCGATACAGGAAGGCACTGACTACAATAACATTTTCAGAAGTTTCAGGTTTTGAATGTGTTCACTTTGGAGATATTTCCCATCAATTTATCTCCTATCAGGGACACAGACAACTATAAAAACCCAGAAGAGGCTCAAACTCTATTTTAAAGAAAAGGTTTGGCTCAAGTAGAGCTTAGTCATTCCAGGTTGTAGTGTGTTTCTATATTCTGCTAAGTTTGAAGGTTTTAAAGGTAATTTGTAGAGGTAAATTCAGAGCTCTGACATCCACATGCACAGCCATTGTAAAATGTGTTCTAGGGCAGCAGATAGAAAATGAAGTGAAACAAGAATATTTACATCCGTTGCCTCCTACTGTTAAATTGGTTTTGTTTCCAGTCTAAGTATGATTGATAAACCAAATGTATTAGAGGAACCTGTAACGCTGGCCATAGATGGATTGAAATTTGTCCAGTTCGGCATAGACTAGCCAAATTGTGACTCAGGTGTAGCCGCTCTTGCGCAATAGAAGTCAATCTAATGATTGAGTTCTGTTGAATGTGTGTGTTTCTCGATCAGCAGCTGCAGACATAGGCACTGCTGCTGATCAGAGTATTCTTAGAGCAGAGAGTCCCTGCTGTCAGAATACAATGTCTCAGCTAGTTGGTTTCCTCTATCCACCTCAATTTGTGTGATCCATCTATGCCCAGCGTAACCACTTGTCAAATGATGTCCTCCCAGAACTGGTCCCCCGGCACTCTGTTATTGCTGTGTCCTTCGGACACAGCTGATCACGTGTCACGGTAAAGGGCCAATCATAGTGGCCCTTTACCACGTGATCAGATGTGTCCAATCACAGCTGGTCACAATGTATATACCCTTTCCGGTTATGGCAGTTACTTTCCTCACGGTGTCACAGTGTGAGGAAAGTAAAGCCGATAACCAGCAAGTGTGAACGGAGACATCTACACTGATAATCAAGGCAGGGATTATCATTGCTGCCCCAGCAGTGCCCATCAGTGCTGCCTAATAAAGCCAATCGGTGCCCAGCAGTGCTGCCAGTCAGTGCTCATCATTGTTGCCAAGCTGTGCCCATCATTGCTGCTAGTCAGTGCCACCTATCAATACCGCCTATCAGTGCCCTTTAGTGCTGCCTATTAGTGCCCATCAGGGCAGCCTCATCTGTGCCTCCTCATCAATGCCCATCAGTGCAGCCTATCAGTTCCACCTCATCAGTGCCCATTAGTGCAGCCTTTCAGTGCAGCCTCATCAAAGCACATTACCTCTTTGCTAAATTTTATAATAGAAACTAAGAAAAATGTTTTGTTTTGTTTTGTTTTTAAATTTTCGGTCATTTTTCTTTTGTTTAGCAAAAAATAAAACACCCAGTGGTGATTAAATACCACCAAAAGAAATCTCTTTTTGTGTGAAAAAAAGATACAAATTTCATATGGCTACAGTGTTGCATGACCGCACAATTGTCATTCATGGTGCAATAGCGCTGAAAGCTAAAAATTGGCCTGGGAAGGAAGGGGTAAAAATGTCCGACAGGCAAGTGGTTAAAGTATATGTAAACCCTCACCTTGCAGAACAATGCATTCCATTTAAAATAAAAATGAAAGGAAAACCATTTATGTGTGTATGTGTGTGTGTGTGTATATGTGTATATATACTGTATGTGTGTGTATATGTATGTATTTATATAATTAATTATAAAACCCTTATTTTCCCTTTTTATAAGTGATCACATTCCCTCTGGTCTCAGCTGCATAAGTGCTGGGGGAGGAGAAACAGCATTACACTAATCTTCCCAGTGAAATGCTGTGTGGGTGGGGAAAGGGGGGTTGTCAATAGAAGTCTGATCACTGAAGCAGAGCAGGCTGAGTTCCCAGTACAGCTAGAAAACTGACCATGGTATGTTGTCCTGCCTAGTGCTTTTAGTTTTAATAGGAAAGCAGAGGGACCAGGGATTTTACACAAAGGAAGCAACACAAAACGAAAACGAGATGATACAGCAGGTACATATCAAGAATATAAAATGTTGGATTTGCATACTCTTTAAGTGACTGAAAGGATCAGTCCATCCAAAGCTAATAGAGAGGGATACAGAATTGGAATTCATGCTCCAAAACATTCACAAAAATACACTGAGGTGCAGTTGTCAGATTTTCCTTGCAGTTATACCTGGTTACTTTGACAGGCTTTTGCCTTTTGCATTATTATAGCAGTTGTAAGAATTAGTAACAAATGTAGACTAACGCTGGTAAATGTTGCATTTGCATTATCTTGGACCTGTGGTCTTTTAGTAAATTACTTTGAGTTATAATATTTTCATGCTTTACAGAAGTGATTTCCCAGAATTCTTCTGTATCTTACTACACTCCAGCCACTCGTAATTCTCGGAATCCTTCTCCTGTAAATGAGCACCTCCGGCCTTCAGTTGTGGGACGCACAAGTCAGCGACTTAGAGGAGATGGACAAGATTGGGATGCTACGTCTTCTAGGTTGGTGTTTCTCAAGCTTTCAGACTTGGTGATACTTTTGGCTTGATACATTTACATTCATCATAAAAGCAATGCAAACTAAAAATAGAAGACGTGGGAAAAATAAGATTGGAAAATAAAACTTGAAAAATTAGAAAAATAAAAAAAACATCAATCTGAAATAAAATATTGCATGTGCAACACATACAGTAACACATCTGAGCTCAGTCATAAATCAGCACTGTATGAACCTATTTGAATAATAATATACATTATATAGTAATTGCATTTTAAATATCCCTAATTGAATGTATTGGTTATAAGAATTGTAATGTGGTAGTAAAGTTTCCTTAAAGTAAAAAAAAAAGAAATTGCCCTTCAAGTCATATTGTACTACTATGAACCGCATACTAGTACATCATGGGAGACTTGCCTGCAAATGTAGCTCTCCAGTGCTGGGCTGTCATGGCTCCCCCTGGTCCTTGTCGCTTCCATCTTAACCCAGTCTTCCTTTTGGGTTCCGAATGTTCAGCTGCTAGATTGGCTGGCCTGCAGAGACATGGTTCCCTTGCATGCACATGGCATTCACTTTGCTGCGACACACAGAGCAGGCTGAAAATGCAGTCTGAGCTGCGCATGCGCAGCTCAAATTGCATTACCCGCTGACAGGCGGAGGGACATCTATGACAGAAGAGACCTCTAGGGTCTCTTCTTTTATAAAAACCCTGCCTGTCAGTGGGTTTTTTCAGAAGAGAGTTTACTACCACTTTAATAGATGGAGTGGCACTTTTTAAGTTCTGGAGCTGTTTATAATGGGTGAAGAACATGCACGTCATGGTAACTGCAGGCTAAATGAGTAGATTGGGGTTAGTTTCCTCCTTGCACTCCATCAGTTTTTTCTAGGGTCCTGTACGGAATGCTATTCCTCTATTAGGTCCTGCAACAGTCTTAATGTGTCAGTAAAATGTCTGTAAGCAGTTTTCTGACCCATGGGCCAGAACCTCAACTGGGTCTTTATCCATAGACCAAGTACACACAGGTAAGGTAGGATTTACATCTTAGATTCCATCATCAGATCACCTGCCTGATTATTAAAATACTCTATTTTTTTTTTCAAAGGTAAAAGGAAGGAGAAAAAACAAAGTTGATTCCTAAGTATGCAGTCTAAGTTGTTCTTGTTTCAACGTAGATGAAATTGGTAACAGGAAGGCTGTCTCAGATGTTCTACTTTATGAGTCAGCAAACTGGCTGTCACACAATTTCTTCCAGAGTTAATTTCCCTGCTTGCGTTTAACAATAAGATGCTCTCTTCCAACTTTAAGGAGCTGATTTGTAAATTACCTTCAGCTCAAGGTTTTACTGCTGTTCGCAATAAAAAAAAAACAAAACATGCAAGTACCCTCAACATGGTGTTGTGTACGTTTACTGGTAAATTGTGTCGTTGCTCTGCTTATCCTATAACTTTTCTATCAAGGAAAACTGTACATTTTATGCTCTAGTGGTTTGTGTGTCTCTAACTATAATAATTTTTTTAATAAGGTTTTTATTTGTGTACAGTGACGGAGCTCAAAATTATTGTTAACCATTGCTATCACTGAGAGCATTTGATTTTATAATTGCAAAACTACAATATTAAACTCTGATGTGGTTATCATGCCATGTTATTGCCTTTGTAAACAGTGTATTTGGTAAGCTTCATTCACACAGCTGTAAAAGTTTAGTTGATTTTTTTTGCACGTGTTTGCGCAAAGATGCGTAAACATACATAACTTGTTTTTAGAATTTTTCCAGTTTGCTTAGACTCATTCACGCTTGTACAAATGCGTATTAATGCATTTATATGCATAAGCTCTTGCGTATCCGTATGTTCTTAGACGCAGATCTTTAGATTCTGTGTTGCAGATCTGATAGCAGGTCATGTTTACGCACCTGGCTCCTGGTGTGACTGGCTCCATTGAAAATGCAGCTGTGTTCAGATCTCTAAGTGAAAAACACGTATATGCATTTTTTATGGCTGTGTGAATGAAGCCTTATTGTGACTTTGAATTTTGTTTTTTATAAGTGGAAATAGCATTCAAGCTCAAGTCAATTCCCGGACATCACACTTGTTGCCATTGGACAGAGGTCACTTAGACCCTCCAGAAGTTGAAAATGAAGATATGCTAGATCTGCAGTTTCAGCAACTCAGTCTTCCTCAGTTCTGTGTGCTGATTTTGGAAAGTGCAACGCCACTGTTGAAGTCAGGTCAGTCTTTTCTTAAATATGAAGCATGTAGGTATTGTTTTCTGGTAGCCTTACATGCATCACAAAACTGGATACCACAATGGCTGTATAATTTTATTAGAACAAAGGCATCACGCACTGAAACATTGCAGTACATTTTATAACGGCATTGCGTTTTTTTCCTGTACTGTGAAAGAGGTTCATGGCTCCCGCCTGCACTTAGTCGTTCAACCATTTTAGATTATGATTTTTCCAAGTCCAATTCTTTTCTGAAAGCATGGGTCTCTTAGCCAAACTATGTGTAAGGGGCAGAAAAATTCATAAAGGGTCTCTGGGGATAGGCAATATTATTATCACACTTAAAACTGAACTAAACCCATCAATTTAAACAGTTTAAAAAAATCAGTTCCATTCCTGGCATGCCAGGAATGCTAACTGTCACATTTGCTTGTGATTTCACCTAAACTGTCACACCATCCAATAGCAGGATTATAACTGATCACATGTGCAGCATAATGGCAGTTGCAGATCAAGCAAAGGCTAAATATAGCAGCTTCCTTGGCTGAAAAGGATATAAAGGTTTAGTTCCACTTTGAAGCAGAACTATACCCATTGATTTAACATTTCAAAAAACAGTTACATTCCTGGCATCCTGGGAATGCTAACTGTCACATTTGCTTGTGTCATCAACAAAACTGTCAAAACATCAAATGGTTGGTGTCATAACTGATCATGTGCAGCACCTTGGCAGCGTCCTTGGCTGAAAAGGATAGGGGGCGGTTAGTTCTGCTTTAAAGAAATCGACGATATAGCCTTACCACAAAAGCTTGGTAATATTGGCTATGTCCCTGTTGTAAAAGTCAAGATCTGTATCATGTTAACACTATAGCTCCTTGAAAAATATTTGCTTTGTTGAAGATTTGTAAACGCCTGTCCACCCGAAGTTAAACACTTTGGCTGTAATAGGATATTTTCCCTTTCAAACCTGAGCTGAGGTTTCACTCTTGACCTGCTAGATTCCTTACTGATGCAAATTCCTTGGGTCACTACATTCATTTTACCTGTAATGAGAAAGTCATTCAGTTCACATTGAAGTTTACTTTCTTATGGGAGAAACTACCTTTACGGTAAGAAAAAAAAATGTTCATGCTGGTGATCCAAAATTGTGTTTATTGTAGTATCAACTTATACTTTTCGGTTGGTATTTGAATTGATAGTATGTGCATGTGTTACTTCAAAATGAGTAAGGAGGTAAATGTTCAGAAAACTGTCCTCAAAAACCTACACTTGTGTAAATGTTGTGTATTGAAGTATCCCAATACTTTTCCAGTTGAATTTACAGTACGTACAGTATGTGCTCCTCCAAACTGATGGAGGGTACGCATCTAGAAATCTCATCTTTTTTAATCTTGGGTAACTATTAGGAGTTCCTCTGGCAGTTGAGGTTGATTGTTAGTAATAGGAAGATATTTTGATTTGTTGGATAATCTCATTGGGTCAGTCGCATCTTTTTTTTAGTGTGAAGGAGAGGGGTAAGGATTAAAGTTCTGAGAGTGTGCTGGTATTGCCTTTTGGTTTGGTCTTGGTATGCATGTTACATAAGGACAGGTAGCTATCGTCTGACTGTTGTACTCAAAGAGATATGTATCCATCATTTGCCACCCTTAACGGCATCTTCTAACTATTTCTAGGTGAGAACATATGCAGATATTTCTTACATAGGCCACTGACATACCTGTATTTCAAACATTACTCTTGGTGATAAATACACATTTCCAGTTTGTCTAATTTTTATGTATGGCATAAACTTTCCTTAATGTTGAGGAACAAAGCTGCTTGCCTTACCTTCTTATGGTCATAGTACGTTTATTTTGTAGTTAGGGGCCCAAAACAGTACTGTAAATTCTAGATTTCATGGAACTTTTATATTACTTACATTTATTGCCTATTTAATACAGTACAGGATTTTATGAGCATTGCAGCAGCTGCTTGGCAGTGAGTGCAAGTACTCTGAACACCTCTGAGAAATCTGAGACATAGATAAATCTTTTACATCTCTTAATATAATGAATGTTACTTTGGCATAGGGATAGGTGCATACATTGCATTTGCTAAAATGTATGTGTTGCTATAAAGCTCATTCTTAAGTAGTTAAGCTATAAATGCAGCCCTCAAAATTTCCATTTGCCTGTTCGCATTTGTCGAGTGGAAATAACATGGGGGCTAGCAGGACTGAGACTAGGGCAAGGCGGTAGGGGTGGCCGTGGGGGCATTTTCAAGCACCGATCTCCCTGTATGGCTTTCAATGAAGCAGATGAAAGCTGCAGGAGGGAGAGGAGGAGAATCAGCTTCCAGCTGCTTCATTGAAAGCCATACAGGGAGGTTGGTGCTTGTAACTGCCCCCACCGCTGCACCGATCATCCCTGACCGTCCATCGGATTTCCCTGTTTCTGAGCCCCCCATGTGTGCTCCTCAGTGCCCAGCCCCCCTCCGTCCATCCTCTGCACCAATAGGAAAGAGGCTGGATCTGCTCTGCCTCCTTCTATGACCGCCCCACACTCCAGTCTGTGCAGAAGGGGATGTGTGGCAGGAAATTGTAAGCAGAGCAGGTGGCAGCTCTTTGATGTTTCTGAGTAAGTCAGGGCTTGACCTTCCTCTCCTTTCTCCCCCCAGTCAGCACTCCTCTCCCTGCACATACTACCCACCGCCATACACTCTGTACCCCTCCCCCTGCACTATTCATCACACCGCTGACCTCCGCACTGTGTATCATTTTGTTTCCCTATTAATGTAAAGCACTTATTTTATGTTTACATTGTTAAAGTTGTTGCTAATATTTATTTTGTACCTTTATTCTGCTTAAAACATTTAACAATGTAATTTCATTTATATTGAATTATAATTTACGAGCGTGTGTTTAGGGGCAGGGTAGGGGTTGGGTCGGGCAACTGGTGGCGAGTAACTCTTAAGGCCTGGCTGGTAGCTCAGGACTAGAAATTTTGAGCCCTGCTATAATGTTTTTACAAGCCTTTAAAGGTTGGTATGATCTGTGAATATATAATATTTACTGTCAAGATCATTACAAAGCTTTCCAGTGATGGTCCTTTGCTCCTCATTCTGGTCAGCATCATTAGGGACAGTATACCTATAATTGCACAGATATCCCTATTGACTTTGTTCCCCCATTTGTATTGCAAAAAATATGACTGAGGACCAAAGAGTGCCTACAACTTAAACTGTATGGTTAACTGTTAGTTGGCATTGATGCTCATGAGTGTATTCATCCTTTTGTTTACCAAAGAATTGAAGTGGTTATAAACCTCAGACATGAAATATGAACAAAGCATATCCCTATATAGTGTGTACTTTTCTCAGTTAAGAGCACTAAGTTTTATTTCTGTCTGCTGCTTTGTTCCTCTGTTATCAGAAAGAATAACCTCTTACAAATTTTCTTGACACCAAGAGAAAAATGGTGACAGGGAGGGACCTCCAGAAGATGAACAGCCTCAGCTCTGTTCCTGTGAGTTGAGTGGAGGGGGTGTGTGTCTCTTCCCTTCAGTCAGCTCTCAGAGCTCTCGTCACTGAGCTCTGCAGAGGGTAATTTCAGTTCTCTGCCCCCTTTTTCCTGAACTTCCAGACAAGCTTTATAAATTATGGACTTTGAACAGATGTACAGAAAAGAACACTGCAGATAAACAGGTACAACCTATGTAGGAGGATTTGTCTCATCTGTGTATCACTTGAGGCCAGTAATTTCACTGGGTGTATGTAGGAGTTTACAACCACTTTAAAATATTGTGAATAATCCATTTTGGCAGATCTCCTTATTCATAATGCTGCTTAGATTTTTTTTTTTTTTTTTTTTTTTGGTAGCTTGGCAATCATGACAATCTAGCAAAATCTATTTTGTTGACAGATTTTTTGACAGTTATTGAAGATTTTCACCAGATTTTATTTTTCACCATTATTGACTGTGAAAATATGCGTGAATGTAAAACTGGAGTAATCCACGTTATTGAAGCTGAAAAAGGAACTCTTGATGATGAGATATGTTTTTGTAAGTTGCTTGTAATAAAATGGCAAAAATTTTGTGGCAAGGAAAAATTGGTTAGTTTACTGACTTTTTTTTATAATGAATCCCTTTTTAGAGTTGTAAATTATACATGTTTTATAAATTGGCCTGGAAAACATGTTCATTTTTTTTTTTACAAATATAGAAAGAAGAAAGATGTTACAACTCGTCCTTGAACTGCTTAGCGAAAACTTGGTACTGCTTTGTGATGCCATTTCAGAAAACGTATGGGAGGATCGAAGTCTCATAGGACAAGAACTGGTGAGATAGCAGCATTGTGATTATGGAAACAACATGCTATGCACTAAATATCTTTGACCAGCAATTAAATTTTGATACCAGCCATCCAGACAATATTAAGTTTGCATCAATAAAAACATGCTCACAAAGCATTCTTTGTTCACCAGGGTATGGAAGGCCTAAGCAGCAGTGCAGGTTGCTGTGGTAACCAGGGGGAAGGCAAATAATGAGACAATGTCAATAACACCTTTTATTTGTCTAATCTTTTTTTTTTTCTCTTATTCTTTCTTGAAAGGTTATGCATGGACAACAATCCAGCAAAATATGAACTTGATTATAAATGATTTTTGGAATGGGTGGCTTTTTCTTGAGCACAGATGCAATAAATTCCACATCTCTTATATGATTTAAGCCTATTCCAATAATGTAATAAAAACTCACTTTTGTGCTTTCTTTTTACAGAGATGTAAACTGCTTTTCGTGCTGGATACACTTGGGGAGGTTATATTGTATCATAAAAATAACAATAGCTCTGAGAAGCCTGACTCTTCTCTTGTGAACCACAGAATGGCATTTATCAGCATCTCTCTTTTTACAATGCGACTGCTGCAAACGCTTCTCCCCGTGGAAAAGGTGAGGGATTAAAAGCAATCCTGAAATGCAAAACCTTTTAAGCTTCTCTCTCAGAATTGTTTTGGTAAATATTAATACACCCAGTTAAGACTCCATGGTCTTCCCTTTTTAAATTTCTATCTGCAGCTCGAGTTGGAGTGAGTTTACTCTTTGGATGTAATGCTGCAGCTAAAAATGGTTTGTCTATAACTCTCAGTATTGATCTCTTAGATGCCCATTTCAAGGCACCGTAATGAAGTTTGTACAACAGTAGGTCTAAAGCTGAATAGCTGTGGAATCCTACAAGGTGACAAGCTTTAAAATCATTTTCCTTAGTGCTGAACTACACAGATGACATTTTTTTTTTTTTTTTTTTTTTTAAGGATGCTGAAAGTTTGTATGTGTCGGATTTTCAAACTGTTCAGAAAGGAATATTTACTAAAAAATCTAAGTGTATATGAACTCTTAACAAACTTCTCTTATATGTTCTCTTGGACTGTTAAAGTGGTAGTAAACCACGTCCCAAACAAAAACCCCTTTAAGGTAAAGGCATAATGTGCTAGTATGCCTCGCATACTAGCACATTATGTAAAACTTACCTTAAAACGGAGCCCTCCAGCGGCGCGTTGTCACCACTGTAGTAGCTTTAATTTTCACCCAGTTTTCCTTCCGGGTTTGCAAGCTCGGCCATCTGGCTGGCTGAGCCGCAGTGACATCACTTCGCACATGTGCACGGGATTCTCGGGACACGGCAGAGTGTTCAGAAGGAATGGCACAGGTATGCCGTTCCTTCAGAGCGCATGCATCAGCTGTAAAGAAACCCAAATATCTCCTAAATGGTGTGTGTTTAGGAGATATTAATTTTACCTACAGGTAAGCTTTATTATAAGATTACCTTCAAGTAAAAATGTAACAAAGTGACTTTATTACCACTTTAAATATACCACCAAAAGTGTTTTGTTATACAGTGGGGGAGATTCACTAAAATTGGTGCACTCAGAATCTGATGCAGCTGTGCATTGTAGCCAATCAGCTTCTTACTTCAGCTTGTTCAGTTAAGCTTTGGCAATAAAAACTAGAAGCCGATTGGTTTCTATGCAGAGCTACACCAGATTTTGAACCCTCTGGGTTTAGTAATTAAGCCCCAGTATATGTTCGAGGAGTGCAAAAAAACGGATCCTCCCAGAAATCCAGTGAGCATGCTGCCTCTGCTAGACAGAAATCTCAAGTAATGTAATTAGTCCTCCTTAGTTCAACTATGTACTACAGAACTCCTGCACCATGCTGAGGAGAGGGGCAAGTGTTCCGTAGTCCAGTTCTGGAGTAATTGACAAACTTCCTGGGTGCTGGTAACCAAAAATGAGGTCTTGTAGCTTGTGAAGGCTATAACCACAGCTGCTCAATAAACCATAGAAGACCTATGTTAATAGAACAGTAGCTGATTCTGAGCGCTGTTGGTATAGAGCCACATTAATAGTGACCAGTAAAGTATTAAAAATTAGCAAGGATGATGACAATCTTATCCAGAGTAAAAAAGAAGGATTTTATTATCCACTTGAAAGGAATTAAAATTGTTCACAATCATATGTCCAATGTAAACAAAAGGAAAACATGGTAGGTATAGCCCAAATGTGTAAACATGGTCAATAAAATTGGCTTACTGCTGAGGAAATGGGTACATCCAGACCAGGGTGCAGGAGGTGGTGGAGAGGAACCCTGTGGGCTGGTCTGCTGGAAGATAGGTCGCCAACTGTGTGAGAAGGTACCACTCACAGAACAGGATGCTGCCTCAGATGTCCCTGGAAATCGTGACCAGAAATGATGCCACCCACACCGGAAGTGACGTCAGTGAAGCACAGAAACTGGCAGATGGACACTGATGGACGGACAGAGAATCCAGAGTGCCTGGGGCAGAGCACAACAAGACCTGGTTGCTATGACTGTTATGACTGGTTACTAAGTCATAGCAACCAGGTCTTGTGATCCGCCCCAGGCACTCTGGCTTCTCTCTCCATCCATCACCGTCCATCTGCCGATTTCTGCGCTTCACTGACATCACTTCCAGCACGTGCCAACGTCATTTCTGGGGTGCAAGATCTGGGGCATCAGGAAAGCAGAGGGACTGGCCAAAGGACCAGGGATTTCACACAAAGGAAGCAGTACAAAGAGCACAGGATACTTTTTTTTCATACAAGTACATGGTACAGCAGGCACATATCAAGAATATGAAATGTTGGCTTTACATAGTATTTAACTCATCTGTAATCCTGTTCAAGTCTCTGGAGAATATTCATTTGTTTAAAAATTAAGCCAATAATATTAATAAAAAATACTTAAGTTCTAAATTGATTCAAAATGAGCCATAAATTACAGCAAATAGGGCAGCTTCTTGTGAGTTTTTTTTAAACAGTTTTTGGTGGTCAAAATGCATTTGCTGAAGGGTGTGTGCTAAGGGAATGTCACCTCGATTTCTGATGGATGTTTAAAAATTATGATATGTAACATAATGTGTATAGAGGTGGGAAGTCATCCACTTTTATTGCTTTTGGCAGTTTTAAGCAGGGGTGGACTGACCATTTGGCCACTCGAACACTGCCCGAGGGCCCGGGGTCAGTAGGGGGCCCCATGAGATGCCCCTAATACCTTTTAATTGGCTTTTTCGTAGGCTTTTTTTGGCTGTGGATGAGGACACATGGGCCCCATGATCCCTTATTGCCCAGGTGCCCCATGAGTTGTCAGTCCGCCCCTGGTTTTAAGTTTGCATTTTTTGCACATTTGGGTAACATTTAAGCAGTGTTTTCAGAAGCATGTGTGTGTACATCCAGACTAGAGGAACCAGAGCAGGAAAGCTAATGCTGAGATCCAGTTTGAGTACATCAAAGTAGCCTTAAGTAAGAGAAGGAACTGTTACAGATTCTTATTTAAAGGATGCTTCTTTGGAGTGATCACTTTTTCTCTGATGTACTCCTTAGCAAAGCCCAGAAAAAGCTCCCCCAATAACAGGAAAGAAGTCTTTCCTGAAGAAGATGTAGCTGAGAGATTCTTGCAGGCTAAACAATAAAGGGAAAATAATATCCTTTGGGTGAGCCTTGTCTCACTGTAAAGCTAGAAGGGGTTTGGTTGCAGGACAAAGCCATCAGTTCAGCTGCTCCACTTGAGGCTACAAGGAAAAACACCTTATGTGTGAGAATAGAGGAATGTCTCTTCTAGGTTAAAACCGCATCTTTTTTTAGATTCCACAGAGTTGCAGGGGAACAGACAGGGAGAGCTACATGAGTGACCCCCTGTACAAAGATCTTAGGAGAGAACCAAGGAGAGAGAAGCAAACGGTCCCTGAAAACAACATAGGAAGGGCAGACGTGTGTCCCTTGATAGTACTGAAAACCAAACACTGGTCCAGAACCAGGAACAGAAATGAGAGGATTTGTCCCACAGAAAAATCCCCAGGGTGGAACCATGCCTTCTACATTGGATGATAAACTTTGCAGAAATTACAGTAGAGATGCCCATGTCCCTCAGAACCTGGGCTGTAATAACCCTACTATCAAAGCCATGAAGTAGGGTGGCAAATTTCTTCTTAAAACAGAAGATACTAAAGGATCTGGCAGACCCCAAAAACATCAGTTAGGAGTCTTACCAGACCAATGTATCACATGCTCTATTCTGGAGCAGTGAGAATCCTCATTTCCTTCCACTTTGATTTCAATCCTGCAAAGCAGCTGAGAACGAGAAATAAAAGTAACATTTTAAAACATTCAGAGAGGGTGATGACTTGGCAGCTATTTTGTAGACTTTCTCTACTGAGAAAGATGGGTGCTGTTTGCACTAGTAGCATCCTAGAAAAATAGTTTCTGAAGCAGGTCAGAAGAAATCCCTCCCATGCAGAATAAACACTTCTTGTACAAGAATTCTGCAGTCCAGCATCAGCATGACAAAACCAAGAAGTCTTTAGTAAATCGGCACAGCTAAAATGAAAAATTAACAAAGAAAATAATGCATCACCTCTTAATATAGAATATTACAGGCTTAAAGTATGTGCTAAACACAACACATTCATAATGTGCAAAAAGTATCCACAATACTCAAAAATGGAAAATAAATCAGTGTAAGTAAATGCCAATGCAAAAAAAAGTCCAAAATATGTAATTAAATATCACCGTAGAGCGTCTTCCACCAACTAATGAAAATCTTCTCCACCACATGAGCAACAGAGCTAAAATGCACTCACCTACCATAAAGCTGCCAGAGAAAAGTAACAACATGCGCATTTGTGTCAAAAGGACTCTTCACAAGTGGTCAACCAGCTCCATTCGTACAATGGGGACACTGCAGTGCTGCTTCTCACCACTGGGGACAATCAGAAGGCTTGCTTGATATTGTCTGGGGGAAAAAAAGCTCACTACATGGAGCCACACGCAGGGGACCACATATAGTGTTAGTATGTTTATTAAAAAGAAATTTCACATAAAAAAAGTTAAAGGCTTTATCCAAATGCCAGTAAAATGATTGTCATGACAAATAAAGTAGCGCACTTACAAAGAAAGTCGTCTGGAAGTGAGACATCAGGCGTGTAGCTTCTGCCCCAAATGGTTTCATGCGAATGCACGTCTTCAGGGGACGCTAGTACACCGACGTCCATGCATCATCTCCTTAAATAGTCTGCTACTAAATAAAACAAAGGCACTAGAGCAGTCTTTCTCAACCGGGGTGCCTCCAGAGGTCTCCAGGGGTGCCGTGGCATCCTGGTAGAGAAAGGCTGTCAGTTGAGCCCGAGCTCCTGATCCCTAGCTGCCCTGTTCATTGGCACTGGGAGCTGTCAGACTGCTTAGCAAAGTGAAAACAAAAGGAGGGGGAATGTCTGCTGTGCTCTCTGCCTCCCCCTAGAGTGCAGTACCCTGCTGTGTGAGGGAAGGTAATGTACTGCAACTTTTTATAGTGCTGTA